AAGATATAATTAATATAATAATAAGTTATATAATTAATATAATATATTATTTAAGTATATTAATATTAGGGATGTCAAATTGGCTCGTCATTCGCGAACAGCTCGTGCTCGGCTCGTTCGTTAAGAAACGAACACGAACAGTGGTTTCACGAACAATTTTGAACACGAGGTTATTTCAAACAAAATAAATTTCAAACGAACCGAACACGAATACAAATTTTATTCGTTAGTGTCCGGTTCTTTTACACCCCTAGTGAGAGCAAATTGCAACGACTTTGAAGCAGAGCTCACTCTCTCACTCTCTCGTATACATAGGTAGATTTATGTGTGTGTATATATATATATATATATATAAACATAGCAAGGAGATGAAGCTTGCCACTGATAGCTTCCATTCCACGGCCCCCGCTCTTTGGTAGCATTAAAACAATATTCTTCATCTGCAATCTATTTCTTTCCTTTTCTCCCAGCACTCGGCTCTGCCCCTTCACATCTCCCTTCTTTTTTATCATTCCCAGCATTCAATTCTCTGAGTGCATTCAATCTCTGTTACATATCCATCTTCTCGAATCCATTTCCCCTTCCCTATCCTCCCGCAGGTTCTACTTCCACAAAAATTCGCAAGCGATAGGTAAAAGATGGTGCTTCCGAAGCAAGCGGAGGAGTCCATTGTAGCAGACCGCGAAGCCAACAGCTTCAAAGCCAGCGACGAGGAAAACACTCTTACAGAATCGCCGGCGCGGTTCAACATGAAAAGCCTCCTGTGGCACGGCGGCTCCGTCTATGACGCATGGTTCAGCTGTGCCTCCAATCAAGTAAGTATGCAATATTCCTTCCAATCATCTCTCACTCATTACCCTTTTTTTTATTTCTTCCAACCATGTTTTGAACGAATTGGTTGCAGGTTGCTCAGGTTCTGCTTACTCTGCCATACTCCTTCTCTCAGATGGGGATGGCTTCTGGAATCACTCTCCAGATCTTCTACGGCCTTATGGGAAGCTGGACCGCTTACCTCATCAGCGTCCTCTACGTCGAGTACCGCACCAGGAAGGAGAAGGAAAACGTCAGCTTTAAAAATCACGTCATACAGGCACCTTTCCTCATCTCCTTCCTCTGTGAATCCCCTGTTTCAAATTCTGATTTTTACATTCCCACTATTAATGAATATTTTTTGTAAAAATGCAGTGGTTCGAGGTACTGGACGGGCTGCTGGGGCCGTACTGGAAGGCCATTGGGCTGGCCTTCAACTGCACATTCCTGCTCTTCGGGTCTGTTATCCAGCTCATCGGCTGCGCCAGGTATTCACCATTTTTGCCCAAATGAGATCATAAAAACATTAACTTTCCGCAATTCTGTATAAACATCACGATTTTTCGCCTTCCAACACAGCAACATATACTACATAAACGATCGGCTGGACAAGAGGACATGGACCTATATCTTCGGCGCCTGCTGCGCGACGACTGTTTTCATCCCATCCTTCCATAACTACAGAGTCTGGTCCTTCCTCGGCCTCGGGATGACCACCTACACCGCCTGGTACCTCACCATCGCCGCCTTCGTCCACGGCCAGGTCTCCCCCAACTTCACAGTTCGAATTTATCACAATAAAATCCAATTAAAAATTGCTTTTTTAACTAGTTTTAGAATACTGATACAGAATCCCGGGTTGATCCACAGCGGGCCAACAAAGCTAGTGCTCTACTTCACTGGTGCCACCAACATCCTCTACACTTTCGGCGGCCATGCCGTTACTGTGTAAGTATTGAACTCCTGCTGTCGATAGTATAATTACCATTATTGTCTCCTGCACCCCTTTTATCATTTTACCTCCGCCGCTTCTTCTTTCTTCCCTGCCAGCTTTTGCTGGACGGGGCGAGGAGGACAGTTCGTTGTCAGATACAACCTACAACCCCCATTAATAAAAAATGTCCATATACGCATTTATTCGGGGACCCCGACCCCCCACCCTTCGCCCGCTCGCTGCCCCCACCAGTCTGATTGCAATTTTTACTGGAAAAAAATTTAATTTTTAAAATAAAAACAAATTGACGTTACAGACTTACTGGCGGCGGTAATAATGGCGTAAGCGGCGCATTTAGGGTTATTGGGGATTTTTCGTACTTATCTTTAAATCGCTCCTCTTTTTTTTTTTTCTTTTATGCCTCTATTAGGAGGTGTAATCTGCCTATAACCTCTCAATGTCCTCTGAATAATCTTCATCATATGCAGCTCTGCATACATAAGAAATTTTTCTCCCACCTGGGTAATCATTTTTTTCCACTACTTTAATTTAAAAGTGAAAAAAGACTCGCTTTTTTTAGGTGTTTTAATGAGAATGGGAAGAATCTTTAAGTGGTGAGAGATCTATTTATGATTACGAGCTTGAAAGGTGTAGTTTGGCCCTCTCCCACTGAATAACCAATACATAGTGCGGTTTAGCTTTAACTTGGATTATCCTTATGATGCAATGCTTTCCAATGTTTCTTACCTTCTCCATCCTAACTTTTGTCGCTTAAATTGTGGTTAATTTTTATTAATTTAGTTAATAAATGTTTTTAAAAATGTTATTAAAATTGTAAATCTCTTTAGATTTAATGAGATCCGAGTTCAAAAATATGATTCTATCTCACTTGAGCATGAAGCTTCCTAGTTCTGGCCAAGTCCGTAATATTCCGGCTAAGATTCCCTCCGCACGTGGATTAGATTTTTCTAATGCCTTCTTCCATAGATCGAGCCTGAGATTTACCGGGCTAGCAATTTGGCTTCAAATCTCATACAACCAGATGACATTAAAAATATAGATTTTTTAGTTTGGATGATCTCAGATTTAATTTTATTTGATCCTGAAACTCATGCCATGTTTGGGTAAACTGCGTTTTACCGGCTTATGCGTTTTCAAAATGCTGAAAACAGCGTTTTCACACCGCACCTGTCTAGATGTGGTGGAAGCTTTCTGGCTGAGCTCTGACTTTTCCAGAAAATTAAAAATTTATAATAGTCATTGCATCTAGCTAATCAATAAATTATTTTTAATCAACTTATCAACAAATTATTTAATAAGCTGCAGCTGCCCCAACCAAACACTCTGTCTTCTCAACGTAACTTTGGTAACATTTTGTTACAGGCCAAATAAATGTATCTGTAATTGATAGATTTTGAATGAAATTTTATCAGTACTCTTAAAATTATATGTATATTAGCTAGATACAACGATAGAGACTACTTTAAATTTGTTTTCCAAACTTCGATTTAAAATGGAGCTGGCTTCTCATATTGTGTGTTAAGAATGGCAGGCCTATGGAGTGTTGGTTTAGTTTATAATATAGTCTTTAAGAGTATTTATCCGGGACATTCTCTCTATTTTTTAATGATTTGATTTACAGTATAAATTTTTGATTGAAGTGAGCAACTAGTAGGTGACCAGCCGTCCATAAAGATATGTTACTTCTACATTTTATTATACAATTTTGTTTCTTTAGTAAACTTTTTAATCTATCTTGACTATCATTTGAATGAAGATTATAACAATTCAGCATGTATTGGTCAGCATGTGGACTTCATTGATCTCGGCTTGAATGAAGACCGAGCATTCTTTGTTGCACTTATAAGCTTGTATAAGCACCTAAAAATAATTAGATCAGCATGACAATGTCCAATGGTTAGACATCACGTGTCAAATAAACCCCATAAATTTTATCACTGGTCAATCTCAATTTATTGCGGTGAGCTCATTTAGCATGTGACACCTCATCATTAAACTATGGACTTAAATTAGGTCCGGAGTCCGGATGTAATATTTGGAAGCTTTATCCCTGTTTTTATGGAATTACATCTTAATTTCTGGAAAGGCAATTACTCTCAATTATTTTACTTATGCAAATTGATGGAAAATGCATGCAGTGAGATAATGCACGCAATGTGGAAGCCT